TGTAGATAATGTAATGCAAGGAACAGCCTATCGCCTCCAGAGACGCTGGGAATCAAGTATCAAACGAGAGTCGAGAAAAGATGAATGTACGATTAAAGATAGGACCGTCCACACAGCAGACGAAACGATGGCCACAGCAGGTTTCTTGGGGCGTGCAAATCACGGCTAGTAACTAATGTCAGTCGAGGGATCAAGGCGACCTTTTAATACATCTAGTTGACACGGGGAGGGGGCCTTCTCTGATCACCGACCGTTCAAACCGCTACAAGAACTCCAGGGGTTTGGAGCAGGCTGTTGTGATGGCCATTGACCCTTCTCTGGGGCTCGACATGTGTGATCGCCGACCGGGGTTTGAGAGGCGGGGGGGGGGCCCAAGCCGCAAGTGCCAAATAAGTCCGTTGAGACGGTGCACGGCTCGTTTCAACCGGACAGCCAGCATGATTGTCTCCAGGTGGCCACCCCATTCGGCTCGACTAAGTACTGACCTGCGACTTGTCTGAGATGCAGCTAGGGTTCTCGACTGCAGGAGTTCGAGTTCCTGCGGCGCCATGCAGGCAAAACCTTGACATCAAACCATCGTGCCGGCGGCGGGCAGCCCCCCTTTTGGCGTGATGGGAAGCTCCCAAACTGATCTGGTGATGCCCGCTCATGTTCAAGTGGGCTCTGTTTAAGCCCTGCGCCTCACACAAGGTAGCCTCCTGCTGGACGTTAACTCTCCGATCAATACAGCCAATTCAACAGGCCTGTTCATAAGAGCTTGGTGCAAATGTTGTTTGTCTATCCAATCTAAGGTGCCTACCTACCCAGGCAGCTATGTCTGGAACGTCCACGACGGCCCGTTGACGCAATCCCTCGAACGCCATCGCTTAAAGACAAGACGCACGCACCCATTCGGCCGTCACACTCATTATGCCACCCCCGGATCCTTCTCCCAACTTCAGTAATTGCTCCAGTCCGGCTTGCGTACTGTGGCGCTCCGCCTGATGCTCTCAACCCAAACCGAGTCGTCGAGGATGTTGCTGACCTGCGCCGGACTAACCGCGCTTGTTCGTCGACTGTTCTCCCCCGACCCCAAGCCAGGTTCCTGTAGCTCAAAGCTAAACGCTGAATTGGCCGATTGATGGCTTGGCGACGACGGGCCCGACCGAGGGAAGCTCAACGGATGTTGGTATCCGCCGTCAAGGCCTGGTCCCTGGAGATCGGATGATCCTGACCAGCTCCTGTGATGTGCCCGGTCTGCGTCTTCCGCACTGAGCAGGGTCGACTTACCCTGGCCGCTTTGACGGATCGTTGGTGTCTGCTGCTTACTGCCGTCCTCGTCGTCCACGAAGATGTGCGGAATGTCCAACTGCGGGACTGCAGTCATCCGTCCCGCTTGCTTGCGTTCTTTGTGCTTCTTGAACTGCCGGGAATAGTATCTGGAGCATTGTCAGCATTCAAGGCCAAGCCCGTGTTCAAGGTGATATGCCGGGAAACTTACAAAGTGTCGAAGAAGCCCAGGACAATTCTTCGCCGCACCTCTTCGTCAACTCGCTGTAACCTGGCGCGGCGGCGCAGGAACTCTTCCAACCTAATGAGCGTTATCGGCCTGGGTCAGCATACATTCCAAGAATTGACCGCATCTCAATTATCGCTAACCTTAGACTTTTGCTATCGCTGATGATGTTGTAATGAGCCAATATCATCAGGACAGTAGTGAAAGAGATGCCTCGATCAGGGTCAGCTGAGACCATGACCTCTTCGAAGAAGATGTTGAAACGTCGTCTTCGTTCTCGAACTTTGACCACGTCAATCTGGGCTAGACGCCGGTTAAGCCTGTCGATATCTACCCCGCTGTAGGCGCTTGCGGTTGCTATCGACGTGTGTCTGGAAACCGTCGCATCGTTTCGTACATCCTCCAAGATGCGACTCACCGAGTCGTCCGCGTCGTAGATTCGCATTTCAAAAACTCCCGACAGCTCCCCCAGTAATCGCGGGAATACGTCTTTGCTGATCCACCCTGTCCCGGCTGGGTCGACGCTGCGCCACGCCTCCTTGAATCGACGAATCTCGTCCCGATCGACAGCTGCTAGACCGCTGGATCGCTGGTATACGTAACTGAAACTCTCGTAGATGAGCGAGACGAAGAGGTTCACAAAGATGTACATGCTCAGGATGTTCCAGGCAACAAATAAGAAACGCGCCCAAGGCTTGCTGCCACAGTCGCTCTGGAAGAAGTCCTCGTCATCAACGCAGAAGGGTGGCTCAATATTCGCGTAGTCTTCCATCACAATATTCCACCCTTCACCGCAGCTCATGCGAAATAGTAGGATGAGCGCGTGTGGTACGGTTCGGAAGTTGATGTTACTACTCTCTTGCGAGCCAAATCGAGTGAGGCTGAATGCCTGCGTCAGCGCGATGGCAAAGACAAGGAAAGAAGACTAGCCATGTTGCCAAGAGATTGCCAATCGTGGTCAGACTGGCAGCAGCTGTCTTGAAGAGCTGGTCAAGGGCGTCGTTTCTCGGATGGGGAGGAGGACGATGGCGACCAGGAAGAATTTGTGGATCTGAACATATGTCTCGCCTTCAAGGGTTGTCCCTTCGCTGGAAACCTGAGGATCCAAGGAAACGGAGTTGAGACGAAAGCGCCTTCCACAGGAAGGAGGGGGTACATGTCCCCGGAACTCCCGGCGGAACGAGGCCAGCCCAGGCCCGAAGGATTCGGATGGAGAAGGTCCCCCA